ACAATTTATAACTATTAAGAATTCAAATTTAATATAGAACTACAAGTTCAGATTTAGGAGGTTGCTATAAATCTATGTGATTCCATCCTCTTAAAGTGTTATGAAATGCAATTCTCTTTTGTTCCATTTTTGAAGTAAAACAAATTGAAAATATTTTAGGGAATTTGCCTTTTAAGGGTTCATGTGACTACTTTGAGAAGAATAAGTTTGGGGAGACTGTGCTTCAGTAAATGAATTCTTGGATTCCAGCTGATGAATATTTGGCTCAATTGAAAGAAATCACCCTATGTCTACTATCTTTTTATTATGAGTAAACATCATTTACCACTATTAACTGTGACGCTCCAGTTAAAGTGCTATAAATCAGAAGTTATCTCAAGCTCATAGGGTTTCTGACTTTGTTAAAGTGAATAGTGTTAGCTAGCTGACCAGTGATCAGAGACATCTGGTTTATTTCTTCCTTTGCAGACTCTAAAAAATGTGCATGCAGATTAAGATTTCAAGATCAATCTTTAGATTATACAAAATCATTAACGTAAATATTAGCAGCATTAGCAGCACATAGGTGTAAGTTACATGGATATTAGTTCACAATGAAGTTAGAAACGATAATGCTCCAAAAAGTCTGTCTCCATTGTAGATGCAGTTTGGCAAAACAATATATTTGCATGGGCTCCTGATGGATGTAACCTCCACATTGTCTCTACTTCCATTCTCGCGACCCCAGTCCAGCTAAATCAACACATTATGAAGCCCTTTCCTGACACCAAATGTTTTCTCATTGTCAACACACATGAAAGCATGCTCTATGAAACAGCTTAAATTAGAGCAATACTATCGAGGCCCACCTCTAGCATGGCACAGGAGGCAGAAGACTGGGCTGGGAGGAGGAGAGGCTTGCTCTGATTGTGATCTGCTCCATCATCCTAATCCCCACACACCCTTCTGCCAGGTCTCTGTTCATATCTGATGTGCCTGCTTGGAGAGGAGGTTTTATGGGGCATGGCATTCATGGCATATGGTGCCTGCAAAAAGGCAGCCCTGGCCTCAGCAGGGATTTTAGCACACAAGCACAATAGCTGTATCACACTATTAGAAAGGGGACTGAGAAGGCAGAGTATTGCAATACAGCATTTGCCAAAGGTTTTGTGTAGCTAAAAGCTTTGACAGACATCTTAAATCACAGGTAATAGGATATGAAAGGATATTTATAATGTAAAATCAATGCCTCTGTATACAGGATTACTTTTATTGTTTATCATGTTAAGGACAGTGACATGTACTTAAAAATAAACAAACAAACAAAAACAAACAGAAAACAAACAAAACTGGAAGACCTTAAGTGTGTTTGACCCTATACTATTATCTGTAGCCTATCCAGTGAAAACATTAAATATTTTAATTCCTAATGCTTCCCTGTATACAATATACAGAATATTGATGGACCTGACTGGAGAGTAAATGCTAAAACGGACAACTTTTATTATGATACATTATTTCAATGAAGGTTTAATTCCTAAAAAGTTTTTTTTTTGTTTCACTAGAGATCTCAATCCAGCCACATTTATGTTTTATAGATTGAATGTGGCAGTTGTATCACTAACAAGATATTTGTAACTTACAAGATCACATTCCAGTACTTAAAATAGTTGTTGACAGGACTCACTAGTAAGGTCAAATCCTTTGTAACAGTGTATTATTTAAAAATATCTTTTATATTTTCCAAAGCTGCAAATCCACAGAAACAGGAACTATTTCTCCATGTGAGAAACCAACCTGGCTAGAAAGTGATGTGAAACCATGTACATGATTTAAAAAGAATTAAAACAAAAATCAGTCATAAAACCTAGAAATGCCTAGATAGGCATGCCAGAGAAATCATTGGGTATTAATAAAAAAAATACAAATTTCTGAAATGTATCAGGAAAAGAAAAACCTCACATGACTTGTAAGACTTAGGAGTGCGGAAAATCAAATCTGTTCAATACCCATTTCTGCCATGTAGTTGGAAAGAAGGAAGACGTTGTGTTCTTTCTGCATGATGTTGAAAATCTGTACCAAAGATAAAGCAGGATTTCTAAGTGAAAATACTTGCAAACCAGACATGGGGATTTGAAAGGAATTACTTGAGAAACACTTTAAAACTAATGTAGTTATATAACAAGGTTTGAAATCCGAAGAAAATACCAAGAGACTAGAGGCTTGTAGTGTTATTTGAATACAAGCAAGGTCTCTGTAAATCAGTGTCTATAGTTCTTAGGTAACACTTCGTAACATTTAATTCACATCTTACCATGGAACTGGAGACAAGAAAACAACGTGATGAAGTGTACTTGCATGGTAGAAGAGCCTTCATTACTAAACTTCTAAAAATGCAATCATCTTTGCCAACTGTATTGCTATTAATTCTCCCAGACTAGTCAAGATGTTTATCCTACAATCACATGGCTTTTAGATTCAGTGAGGTAGTCCTTTCCCTTTTCAAGTCCCCACAGATTCCTTTAGATTACAGTGTAGGTTAAGGCGTTATTACTCAGATGTGGAGCTGAGACATTGGCATATGTATGGCAAATGTTTCTGCTAATTTTAGGTTTCTGAATCAGCTTCATAGATTACTTAAAGCACAGCTTTCACAGATTTCAGTGGCAGCTGTGAAACGATCACTGCTACACCAGGATTATCAAGCTGACAACTAGAAAACCTGACATATAATTATTTTCCTTTTATGAAGCATTCCGAGCATCCCTGTTGGGAGCAAGACACAGGAAGAGAAATCAGTTTTCCACAGCAGAGTTCAGTTGCCTTCATCACATGGACATCATTTTATAATCTCCAGCCTCATTCACAATTTACCTTTCTTTTCTGCCACAGGTTAAGATGGTCACACAGCATAATTCACCACACACTCATTCTTCAAGTGCAGTCCATGAAGCACAAATTCTTGGGGAGCTACAGCATGAAAAAAATGTACTATGTGCACATAGGCTAAATTAAGTTTAGGATTCAGGATGAATGATGCCAACACTGAGTTTGTAAAATTAATAATGTTACTTGATGTAGGTATCATCCTGGGTTCTTAAAGAGGAAACCAGTTTTCCTCCCACATTTCATAACACAACGCTACGCTGCACTACTAATTCAGAACATTTAGCTCTGCAGACCTGAAAGCATTAATTATCAACCCCTGAGCAGAGGTGTTAGGCAGGAGGTAGAGACATTTTGCAACGAGACAGTGAGCAATGTGATAATCCTAAGCTTCCTTCTAGGCTTTGTAGCAGAGCAGAGAGAAGCCTCGACCAAGCACAGCTCCTTTTTCCACTCAGCCTCTGACCTTATTCTTCAGGCACTCTAGTCTCCTCTCTGAGCTCCTTGTCTTTTCCTTTAATTAATTCACTGTTCCCTGCAGGCTCCCTTTTACACTGCCCTTTCCCTCAGCCTCTACCATCTCAGACTTACAGCCTTTCTGATTTCCATTTTCCCTTTCTAAGTAGTGTTAGCTTTTCCCTTCACCTCTCTGCTCCCTTGTCTCACCTCCCTCTCCTGTTAGCCTCTACTTTAAGTCTCCTCACTCAGTCCTTCCCCATACATTTTCATCTTTTCTGTCTTTCATACACAACCAGAATGACTTCCTGATCCTCTCAGCTTTGTACAACCCCACCACCTTGAACAAGTCATTTCAAAGTCTGATTTGATGGCTTCAAAGAATAGGGTACGCAGCACTGCCAGGACACCTTCCCTCCGATCACTGGTGGCAGTTCCTCTGATGAGCTTCAAGCTGGTCTCTAGCATTAAGGCAAATTATTGGAGAAGCTTCATTTTTACACGATGGCAAGTAGGCTTGAATGGGCTCATCCCCTCTAGTGAGGATGGCTTGTAAGAGCACTATCTCTCTGTGATTTTGTGGGGGAATACTGCAGGAGCCCTTATTATTTTAAGAAAAGTGATTTTGTACTGTAATCACTAATGAAAGGGAATATTTTCAGAAAAAAAAGTTCTGAGTGGTTACAAAGCAACAGAGAAAGTACCTGTGGACATAAAAAAGATTTGGTATCGTTGCTCATACTGTGCAGATGGTGCACTGGCAATTTGCTTTGCACAGAAAATTGTTATATTCATCTTTGGGCTTTGCTTAGAAAGCACAGAACACTTGAATTTCTAATAATAAAGGTACGGAAATCTTTATAGTAGGCATGCCATTTCTCTAAGTTCTGTACAGAAAGTTAAAGGTACACTTCGGTGCAAGATTATTCCCTTCCCCAACAAGTTTCAAGCATCTGATTCAAAGCAAAATGATATGATATTTGCTTAACACAGGATTTCTGGAAGCACTCAACACAGGTGAAGTACCAATTCCTCTTGAAAAATTCAAGTGATTTTAGTAAAGTTTTATACAAGTGTCTTTTTTTCTCAAGGTGGAGAAAAAGTCCACACTGTACGTTAAATTTCAGAGCAAATGGTTAAAGCCTGGTAGAGTTGCTATAAGAAGTTATGACAGGTTGGCAAGTTGGGTAGCCCTGAGTGCTATAAACTGCACACAGCAGTTGCAGGCAGACCAGCCTGTGCCGATGACAATGCTGTAAGTTTCAGAGCTTCACTTCATCACTGCATAGACTAATTGAAACTAGGGGAACTCTTGCTCAGGAAATCTTGTCTTCATCCCTAATTTTCTGTAAAGATATTATTTTGTGTTATACACATCAATATATGAGAAGCACATTTTTCTTCTAATCACAGGGAGGCCAGTTGGATTAATGACCAAGTTAAGTGAAAGCAAAGAAAAATTAACCAAAAATCATTATTACACAATGATTATTAGAGCTTGTGCAATGGCTAAAGTAACTTCACTTTCCTATTTACAAATCTAGAAGTGGTCATAAAATTTGTTACAAAAGATATAAACGAGAGCACGATCATAAACATACACTCCTCCAGAAGACTTGGGACGGTCTCTGTGCCGTGTTTGACAGAAAGTGTTTGGTATAAGAGGTCCTGGCCTTGAAAACAGCTGTCATGTGCATGAAGCACAAAAACGTCTAACAGCTTTCAGATGGTTTTAATAAAGTTTTCCTTGTCATTTTGAAATGAGGGTAAGGAAAGGAAAGATGAATATAAAAAAGGAAGAACAGAAAAAGAAGATGGAAGGAGAGTTGTACGCACAAGCAGAAATAGGATTGGAAAACTTCAGGTAGGAGCATGGAGCACACAGACAGGTTTAGAATAGTAATGATCCCTTCTGCAATTCACTTTGAATAGTTTAATTTCAAATACTAATGTTCAATTTTAATTGTAATTCTCAGCTTAAATACTTATGTTCAATTCTAAATACTATTTTTCGATTTTTCTTAATGAATTGTTTGAAGGTCTGTCAGTTAGCAGCCAAAGTCCAGGAGGACAAGATAGCTTTTGTCTCCAGAAGGTTAATCAAAGTGACTCTAAAGACAGGCACCTGCACTACTGTGGTTGAGGTGATTACAGCTGGTTATTTTACTAACAGGGAACATGTGGCAGCACCCCATGCAAGGCCAGCCACGTGCCTAAGCAGCCTGCTAGCTTTGCAAGTGGGGCGAACACCTAGCAGGCGTTTGTCCTAACTACCCATGCAATGCTGCCAGAACCTGACCCTGCAATTTGCTTTTTGCTGTCATAAAATTGATAGTGTTGCACTGTTGAAGAGTGTGGTACAGATGCTGCTTTTTTTCCAAAGAAAATCCTCGATGTGATACAGTACAGTCTGCATGGGACTGCATGCAGGCACTTAGCAAGAGTTGCTGGTATATAAAAAGCTACATTTCCACTAGTTGATTGTCTTTTAAAATTATTTTTTCTCTCTTATTATTTTTAAAGAGAAACAAACAAATCATCTATAAAGATTTAATAAGGAACTTAAAGTTGTAGGATAAGATAAAACAGTTATTGAAATTATTTGGGTGCAACTGTAACTGCTGAATGGGAAGCTAAGCAGATGTTAATGGCTATGGGGAGGTCAGGCAACAGGAACTTTTGTAGGACAGTTCTTTCTTGTTTGACTTACTTAGAAGCATCTCTGAATTGTGGAAATAAAAATAAAAATAATAATAATAAAAAAAATGAATAAATAAATCTCTGCAACTGAGCTTCTGGCAGCCCATAAACTACAAATTCAAATTCTAAGCACAGCTATGCTTGCTTCAGGAGTGTTTGTTTTAATATCAGTTAAAGACTTGAGCAAAGTTTAAATCCATTGTGCGGATGAAATCAGCTGACTTGTAAATGTGGTTACAGTTCGGATTGCTGGCCAAAACTCCGGAAGGTAGTGAAGCTGTGAGCTGTGCTTTGAGCGAGTTCAGGAGAAGTGGCACTAAGCAGGAAGTAATTTTGGTGCAAAACAGAGCACTATCAGGCAGCAGGGTCTCCAGGCATGAACACTCTTTAATTTGTTACTGCACTGCTTCTCTCTTTCCAACAAACCTAGATGAGCCATACAGTTTTCTTCTGTAATTATAATACTCTATAAATGAAGAGAGAATAAACACCTAAAAACATAATGGACATGATAACTACAGTACTAGAAGGCCTGTAGTCATTCACAGTCCTCACCTGCAGTCCTATTTTGCAATATGCTTTAATGTATTTTGATTTTTTTTTATTGTATTTTTTTTTTTAATTCTACAGCTGAGATGAATTTAACGCAGCAGAAATTATGCCTACGATAATTTGCACAACTTGTATAAATGTCTCAACATTTTCCTGTTTTGATAAAGAAACTGTAATGTGAAAGGCTTAATTTGTTTGAAATTCTTTAGCTTTTTTTCTGCATACCTTGAAGTGCTACCTTTAAATACTGGATTACTGATCATGGATAACACAGCTGCATATGAAGCCATGCTTTGCTTACAGGCTTGTTAAGATCTCATTATCATAGCCTGATTAATTCCGAATACATTCATATCACTTTTTTTTTTTTTTCCCATGCTTGCAGCTAGCATATTATGTATTCCTCCAAAACATAATAGAGCTGCTTAGAGTTTTCCCGCAAATTTAACTGAGCTTTGTAACCATCAATATAACCGTAAGTGGGGCTCTATTTCCCAGTCATAATGAGGGCAATGTCCCTTGTAAATCTTATGTTACATGGCATAGTATGTACAGGTAAACAGAAACGGGTTTAATTTAAAAGCAACAGAGAGCCAGTCATTGTTCAATACAAAAGAAGGTGGCAGAATTCAACCTTACATTGTTAGCTACCCCTTGGAAAAATCAGCAAATTTGTTAAAGTATTTCAGCTACAAATTTAGTAAACCATTACTTAAGTATTAAGTAGTGCAACAAGAAGAAATTTTAAGTATACAAATGACAACTGAAGGAAATGATAACCATCAAAAATCCAACATGTAGATCTGTATCAGCAGCTGCACAGGATCAGCCTTACCAAAGTAGAAAGCAGCACTTACAAAGGGGGTACTCAGCTGGAATGAGGAAAACACTACTAAAGCAAGCAGAAGGTCAGGTGAAACTCCCACCATACCAAAGTGATCTGCATCTGAAGGAAAACTTAAATTTTATTTGGTCTACATCCTGCATACTACACTGCTTATCACACTGAATCAGACGGTAAAAAATCCTGCTACCTGAACACAGTCTACTTTGCAAGAACTACCAATTGTACTAGCATTGCACAGTATCACTACAAACTGCTGGATGAAGTCTAAAACATGGATTTCAAGGCATCTGAAATGAGTTGGTTCCATAGGTACCTTCATTAAATATTTACACCAAGTATTTATGCAGTTTAAACTGTTCTTATTTTTGAATTTCAGCTCATAACTATTAATAGCAATTCTCAAAGCAACAAATACAAAAAGATTTGATCCTTACATGCAGCTAGTAACCTTGAGAGACTGCATTACACTTAGATTTTATCAAAGAATAATCGCCATGAGCAACTGTAAAATAACACGGGGATATTACAGTTTAAAAAAGCTACTACTTAAGTTTATTAGCTATGTGCTGTGCAATGTTCAAAGAAGAAAAGCCAGGTGTACTTACCCTTTGTTCCAATAAGCAAGAATATATAGAAGCAGTAGTCAGATGTCATATCTGTCCTTCAGCAATTTAATGAATAAAGTCAATATACGGCGTCCCTTAAATTGCACCCCAGCCAGTGAGCTGCTGGTGTGTTCTGCCTCTGACAGTCTTCAGCAGTGCATGAAGCAAGCTCCCTTCTCTCTCCTGGCTTCCTTGCTCGCTCTCCTTTGCACTAGGTCTCCTTCTCTCCCCCCTTCCTGGCACACAGACACACACCCCGCAGCAAAGATCAGGGAGAAAGTTTCAGGGGCCACCCCAGCTCCTCGGGCTCTTCTTTACATGCCGTGGTGTGCTCTGTCCAGTGGCAGGCAAGGGCTGGGCTGTGTGCATGGACACAGGTCCACCCCAGGGAAAGCTGCTGCTGCACAAAACACAACCAGATCCAGAGAATTGTCATCAATAGTCCTTTTTTTTTTTTTTTTTTTTTTAAAGTTGCAATACTTCAAGAGGCTCAAAAAGTACGATTTTATTTAGGCAAATCTGTTTGAAGCTAAACATTTTGTACAGTTTAGATAAAAGCTGGTGGTTTCTCAAGTAAGGGGAAGTGAAATTTATAAACAGTCCCTTTCTAAACCATCCGGCCCCTCACTGAAATACAAAAAATGCACAAAGTAATTTATTTCCAATAACAGCATGTCACTATTTTTACACATTAACCAGTCTTCATAACTATTGCTAAAGGAAACAATCTGAGGGAGCAAAGAGGGATGTTCAGAAACATATACTGTCTGGGACTAAGATTTTTCAGATTCTTCTTATTTAAGTACATTGAGACATTCCTCTCTGGCCGTTTCCAGTAGATCATGCAAGTATTATCTAAACTCGATCACATATATACTCACAGAGGGTTATAAATCTTTTTTAATGACATGAAGGCTAACACTCATCAGCACAATAAGATATATTTCAAAAAGAGTAAAAAGAGTCAGTGCATTGAGGTGAACTCAAGGGGAGGAGCTAAATTTCATCTGCCCTCAAAGATGAGATTTTTTTTTTTTTTTTTTTTTTTTTACAGTCTTGATAGTTTCAACAGCTTGTCAGAATGGCACAGGTCAGGCAGCACTGGTAACATGCCAACAGCTACCTCAGGTGCTTAGGAAGGAATCACCTCAAACTATGGAAGCACATCCATGCATCCATGCATGGACACATATATGAAATAGCAAATTTAGAGAATGGGAAAAAATCTTTATCATAGTAAAAAGGAAAGACCACATTGTTGCTATGGCAAAGTTGTCTGCAAAATAGGTATCATGAGCTATCAGTCTTTTGGTTTCCAATGTAAAGGAAGACAGAATGTAGAACGGGTAAAAGGTTCTTGTCTACGGAAGACCCCAAAATTCTGTTGGCATCCACTGTACCAACACTAGTATTAGGCAATGTAGGAATAAAAATGGATTAAATGGATTAGGGACCTATGAAATATTTCCTTTATAGGGTGGAGACTAGTTTTGGACTATGTCAAATAGAACTATGGTTGCTGCAAAACAGCCATTCAAGGGTTGACATCTAAATGGCTGCTCTAACAAGAACGTCCAAGGTGGGAAAGTAGGAGGAAGAAACTGAACCAGAAAGGTGAAGAACAGCAGAAACACACTTTCAATAAAAATAGTTGGAAAAATAAAAGTTCTACCTCGTTACTGCAGGATGAGACAGAACTGATGCTCTAGAGAAAAGTTCCAGAGAATGTTCCAGCTTCCTTTGTGACCTTCTGATTCTGATTTAGTCATCTCCATTTAAGATTGGAATTTCTGTGGTTTTGGAATATTTTAACCTGATAATACAATGAAATAAGTGAGCTGTTTCTTAAAAAAAAGTCTGACACACTGCTAAAAAAAAAAAAAAAAAAAAAAAAAAAAAAAAGATTTTCTACCTCAGAGTAAGCAGGAAAGCACCAAAATGCAACACATACCACCCACATATATTTTCTGATGCTCTGCCTCCAATGGGAATTGTCACTTCCAGCTAATGCCTTCCTCTTTTTCAAGGACCTTTAGTAAGGATACTCATTAAAGTTAATTTTATTGTTGCAAACACTTACTGTATGGAAAATCCACTGGGATCTTCCATCTTCTACATTTCTTATACATTCATAATAAGAATACATAAAGCAGCAACAGTTCCCAGCCTTTAGGAGAGAACCATAAAAAAAAGAGATGCCCATTCTCTCAGTGCAATTATATTCAAACCAAGTTAGAGAGTTACAGTTAGAGAGAAAAACAAGTACTCTTGGAATACAGAGCAGAAAAAGCAGGAGATGGAAGCTCATCATTAGAACAAAACATGAAGTAGGCATTATTAGTTTTTGAAAAATAGTTTAGACTTAACTTTTTTGAATTTTTTTTTTGTGTGTGTGCATTTGAAGGGCAATAAGGACTTTCCTCCTGCCTAAAATGTAAAAAGCTATAAAACATTAGTGTTTTAGAATTTTGTTTTCAAGAAAATAATAGCCTTAGCCCTATAGCAAAAAAAGAAATATCACATTAGAATATTAACCATATTTATGATAATATTTATATTAGCTAATTGAGCATATACATATGCTGTTTTATTTTCTGTCTTCACAGCTACCTGGCATTGGTCTAAAACTGCAGTTTTAAAACTGGAGAAACCTATTTGTGGGGGGAAAAAAAACAAACATTCAACTAACATTGTGTCACCAGTGCCACAAACTATCAGAAGTCATTAATGAACTGTTTCACTAAATCCAAATAATTATGGCTTTTATTTTACTGAGAAGAGTCACCTCATGTTTCTATTAGAAAGCATTAGAAATGGAATTAAGTATACAGGGTTTAGAATAAAATGTTTGTAATTATGAGGCGTTATTAGATAAGCATTGTTGGTGTAGTTCTAGGACTTCATAGTCTTTTTTTCTACAGTTCACATTAGCTACTACATAGAAGGAATTTCATGCAAGTAAACAAATCATATCTGTAAGCATCACTATTGTAAGGATCACCATTAAAAAACAAACAAACAACAACAACAAAAAAACAAACAAACAAAAAAACCCCCTGCATATCATTGCCCCTGTGGAAATAAATTAGAATTCATTTACAGCCTTTCAGGAGGTTAATTAACAATTTTTCCTCAAATTCGGACTGCAACATGTTGAACGTTACAGCTGATTCAAGCAGATTCACCAGTACAGAAGGGAGGAATGGTACTTCTAAGTTTTAGTCCATGGGGCAGGAAGCAGATAAATGTGCATAAACTCTACCTGTTACAATGCTGATCTAAGTAATACAGCCCTACTTAGAGTTATTTTTTATCTTTCCTAATGTGGGAATTTTCCTTGGTTTAATTAAAAGTAGTTTCAAGGATGCATTATGTTTTGTATCTAAATAAGGACCCACGATGGCTACGTCAATGGTGATTTTATAACCCTAAGAGTTGCTCATTAAGCAAAGGAAATTTTCAGATGAAAATAATGTCAGCTGTTGTCAGCTGTTCTGCTGCCTGAATGAAACACTCAAAGTGCAGAATGATCACTGAAAGCAAAGTTGGGCCCATGTTGCCATCCACTATCATGAAAATACAGTTCACATATACAGAAATACAGAAATGATGCCCCAGGAAGCAAACCTTTTGCTTTCTCAGCTATTTGATGGGCAAACTTTAGGTTTTGTATTATAGCAAAGCGAGTAATTAATATACAGATAAGGCTTCAGAACATAGCACTTAAAATGTAAATTCTTCATTATGTATGTCAATCCTACAATCCCAAAGATTTAACTGTGCAAATGAACTTAATTGGCTTAATTATAATTAATTTGCATTGCTTTCAAAGCTCCATCAGTAAGCTTTACAGACAGCGTAAGTGAGAATAAGACATTTATATTTTATATGGTAACTGTTACATGTGGAGAATATATTCCTTATTTAACACTCCCAAATTCCTTAACCTCAGAGCAAAGCAATTCTTAGGAAAAGTACCTGAACATTTAAGTAGTGTAAGCACAGAGGATAAGAAAATACCTCATCTACAGCAACTCTTCCCAAGTAGTAAGCTGTACTCAGTACATTTATCTATCTCATACACTTGTGACTCAATCAGTATTGTGGGAACGAGTTATTTTTTCATAAAAATACTGTTCCCTATTGCACAATTGCAGAGATTTAATAGGATTTACCTCACAAAACCTGAAGAGCGTGGGACAGCTGACCTAATGGGCCAGACTAACGACACAGAGACCTTTGCAGTAGCATCTCGTAACTTCTCACTTCCTTTTCCAGACCTTCTTATCAGCACAGTCACAGCCGAGCTAGGATTACTGGCATTTGCTTCTGGAGGCAGAGACCTTCCTCTGCTGGCTCTCTGCTGAAGGGGATATAGTAAAGATTTTATTTATTTATTTATTTATTTATATATTTGTATATCCATCAAGTGTCTCAAAACCGAAAGAGGCAGATACCAGTTCTGCCAACATAATTTGAAGCTAAAGCAGTTGTACAAAATTTGTCTCTAACACTGCAGAAGAAAAACAGGGAGGAGCAAGACTAGTCTGAGATAACAAAGAGGAAGAAATTTAGAGAAAAAGTCAGTTCTCAGTCAGTTAATCTGTTCTCCCAACAAACATGACCATTCTTGCACCTCTTGCTTTCCCAAGGCCCTATGAGGGAGGCCACCTCCCAGCTGTGATGCAATCCTAACTCCTTCACTAGGTCCAGCACTGTAAATACAGAGTCCAATACATGGATTAAGAGTTTCAGTTTCTGTAGGAAAAAGGCAAAGAGAAGTGGAGAAAGGACTCAGGGATTATTACTTTCCTTTACATTTGCTTTTCTGTTTGAAAATGGGTCACTAGCTTGGCTGTAGATGGAGGTGTACAAGCAGCATATCTAGCTAGCTCTGAGCTTACTGAAATGCTTTCCTTTCTTCTGCAAAAGGCACTCTCTACTGCCAGATGGTTTGGCGACCACGTCCAGCTATCTTCCTTAGCTGAGGTGGAGGAAGGTGCTCAGTCTGAGAAAACTTCCTTGCTGCCTCCCTTATTTCCCCTGTTTTTCTCCAGATATCAGCTCCAGTTGGCTGTTTTGACTGAACAAAACGATAGCTCACCAGCATGCTTGCCTCAAAGCTGTTGATGGAATGTAGAATACATTTCTTTCAAAATAACCAAACATACAAGCTTTGCCAATGATATTTTTGACAAATTAGCATTTCTAGCCTTTTGATTAATTAAAGATTTTATTTGCAGTTCTATGATTGTGTGTTTTTATAGTCATGATGTCAATGTCTTTGGTAAATTACTATACCATATGGGACTCTCATAGGAATTGTATACAATGTCCAGCTTTTCAGGGTGACTCTTTTTCCAGTTATCTCTGTCATATTTGGGGGATTACACTTTTTCTATTTTTTATTTTTTAAACACCAAGGCTTCTAGTTGCAAAGGCAAACTTCCCAAATAAAAACAGCTGAATCTACAATTTTGGAAGATGTGAAATTCATAAAGTGTTCACTAGAAATGTAATTACATATTTTAACATGAGATAGTATCAAAAATAAAATTGTGAACAGTTAAGTCATACTTTGACAGAATGAGCTCTAAGAACATGCAGCTTGTAAAGCTTTGAGGAGGAAAAGCAAATACGTCAATAACTCAACTATGAGAAACTTTGTGCAAAAGAATTATCAAGGCCGGCTTCAAAGTTGGAGAGAAATATCATTGTGGTAGCAGAATGGTCAATCCCAGCAAGGCAGACATCATGTAGGGAAAGTTGTGGGTTCACATGTAAATACATGGCATTGCCTTTGAAGGGCCACTGGGAAAAACCCTGTCCAACTTCCACCAACTGACTGAAATATTGTCATTAGTTTATATATCTGTCTAGATTCAGCTTAAGTTAATATCTATCTACTACTCAATTTATGATTATGCATATTATTTCTCTCAAGCAACAGGGAGAACCAAAAAAGGAAGGTTTCTATAATTTGTTTTATCTTTCAAAATGCCATCTTTGTATATATAACCCTATGCAAACATAGATCAGAGGAGAGTCAAGGTTATTTCACCCACGGATGTATGTGGAGCTCATGTTAAAGTAGGAGCTGCTGAAATGATGAATTATCTGTAGGATTATCCATACCGCAGTTTGCCACTGCACTATTGTGAAGAAAATAAAACTCTGTAAAATGAACCAGCCTGTTATAAAGCAGGTATGATTTCTAATCCAGTGGCTTTTATGTAATAGCTTAATTTACAATTCTAATTTTGATTTTTTTTGCAACAGCCTACAAAAAACAGAAGAGAAGGAGCAGAGGGGAGCTGTGAAATTCAGAAATCCCAAGGATATCACCATATAATTACAGGTGACCAGTAAAATAAAATTTTCTTACTGTTAGTAAATACTCAGGACCTAAAATCACTGGGGCTTTGAATTTCTTGTTTGGGGTGGTATTTCAATTTGTTCTTTAACATGTACACATTTGACTCAATCAGCTAAGAAAATACAGCATTTATCTATATCTAATACTGCAGTTTTTGAGAAGCATAAAATGAAAATTGCTCGACAGGGCTAGTAAAGATGTAGGCTTTTGGAACAGCTGTCATGCTGATAGCCTGTGGTGAAGGAGTTTATATTAAGAGAGATTTATTTATTTATTTATTTATTTATTTATTTATTTATTTATTTATTTTAGGTGAGCTATTCTTCCTTTCCTCCAACTAAATGGTGCATGAAAAAATCAATATTTCTATGAGCAGCTTGAGCCAACATGAGGAATTGATTTCAATTTAATCATACAGTTCAAAAGCACTGTGCATGATACAAGTGGAGAAAGCATTTTCAAAGTAACCATGCAGAATGCATGGTTATACCATAGGAAGTTATGACCTCGGACTTTTTTCTTATTTATTTTCAGATTTTATTTTTAAATAGAGTGGAAATTGCTAGGTTTGCAAGACTGAGTGATGGCTTTACAAAATCAACAATTCAAGTAAAAATATTTGATATCTTCCCCAACTGTCTGGATGACTAACGTTATATATATATTTTTTCCCATTGGTGATATTTTATTCTAACTATATTTTCTAATACCACTAAGAATATAAATTATAATCCTAATGAATACTATGATATCTTTAAAGACTTCATTTAAGGCTCTTTTTTTTTTTCTTTTTTTTTTTTTCTTCCCCATTTTATCCAAGGCTGATTTCTATGTTAATTGTAGAAAAAATCTTTATGGTAGGGATAAGAAGAAAAAAAAAACTAGACAAGTGCTTGAACCACTAGCCTTGCAGTGGCATGCTGCATCTTGTGCTCTCTTTCTGTCTCAGTCTGAGATTATTTTTGGTTCAGAAATGTAGCTTCAGTAAGAGAAATAGTTCATTCTCTTCCCCTTGATCCCTTGTATGCTCCTCTATGACATAAGAGAATTGAACCAAATCTTCTGCATCCTGCTCAAAAGCTTTAAGCGCTGGGCTACAACATAAAAAGAGGCAACATGATCAAAACTGGTTGGTGCTGACCCACACTTATGTTAAAGGAAACAGCAGGGGCAATCATTATGCTTTGTATGGAGGCTGACTCTATTTTGGTGCATAGGTATGCTCTGAAATTAAGTCTTCAGAAGGCTCAAGCAGATGAATGCCTAGTTTCTGGATCCTCTTGAAGTAAAGTGGAATAAAACTTTCAGGTGCTTTAACTTAAAGATAACAAACTGTGTCTCCCGTAACCAGGAAGCAGCAATGTAGCAATGATTTTTACTTGTATAGAAACTATGTGATTTCGATAATTTAACAACCTTTTTAGCTTTAGCCCTTATTGAGTGTTTAAAAGATGTGGTATTTCTCTATAGGTTTTGATCTCAGAGAACTGAATTCCATTTTTTTGATTACCTACACTTCTACCCATTTGCTTTTATCTTCAGACCTCAGAGGAAATATAGATTAACAGTTATTATTCTTTTTTGACTTTGTAATTGCCCCACATGTTAAAACAAATAAGCAGGAACTTGTGGACAGAGTTCTAAGAAACAATTACTGCATTTCTGATCTATGTATGCCTAATTCAGGCACCACTTCAATGCTTTGGTCATAGTGTTGGCTTCCTCCAGAGCTGTATTTTTCTATCAATATATAAAGTCTTATTTTATTTTATTTTATTTATAAAAGATGAATCAATAACTGTGTGCCGAAATAGTTTTAGTGTAAATAATTGAATTCTAATAATGTTGAGTATAAATCCAAATCCCTGAGGAGAAGGCATTCAGTGTAAGAAGCATCTACGTTTAGCACAGCTGCTGACACTCTTACAGAACACAAAGCAAATTTGCACTTTTAAAACAAGCATTTGTAATCTGTGATCTACAAATGTGGTGGGAAGCCATAGACCCGATTTTAAAAACATAGACCTGATTTTAAAATCAGATAGCCAGGTTTTAATAGCTGCAATATATAACATTTACCTTTTGTTTGGAGTCACTGATTCAGTGTGTCTTCTCAAAGCCTCAGCACTAACAACACTTATGCTGACTTATGGAGCTTATGTGAGTCCATACAATTTACAGCAGCACCTTTGGCTGCCACAAAGATTACTGCCTGCATTGTACCAATCTCATGAAAATATTTTGTGACAGCTAATGTCACATCCCTTCAACAACTGAAGAATTACAGTGCCCAATTGTTTCACCACTGCAATCTTTTGGCATTCTTCACAGCCTTGTGAAATATATGGGGAGATGAAGACATGTAAAAATGGCAACCCGTGGCAGGGATGTCCTGATGGGGACATGCTGAGGAGAAGGTAGTGCCCTGTAGACTGTTCTGCCTGAGGGCTGTCATGAGCAACACTTACTACCCCAAATCTCACTTGAAATGATATGTTTCTTCATGAAACTACTCAAGGAAAAGCACATATGTTTTTATCCCTTTCTCCAGCCACTTGCTAGTTAGAGTAGTGTATTACCCCAAGGTATGATTGAGTTAAACTCAAATCTCATTGCCTTGTGAATCCTGCAGTACTGGAGTTGTCGGGCACCTGTTGAGACCAGCATCTCTGAAGCAGGTAAAAGAAAGTTCTTTGCCCTAGGAAGTAGTTGGGAAGGTGCCTGGCACAGACTCTGGCATGGTGAGGTTGGGATGCCTGATTGTCCCCTCCCACAAAGTCCAGCCAACCCTCAGGGGACGTCACATCTGTGACATTCAGTAGCTGCTTACAATGTCACCTCTCACAGCCAGCAGTTTCTCATGTTGTGTCCAGCAGTTTCGTGTGTCCTGGTCAGTTAGCTCCACCTCAGGCAGGGGCCCAGTCAGGAGGTAGGAAACATGAGCACAGCTCTGGATTATCACCATTCTTCTCTTCCTTGGGTAAGAAGGCTGCAGAACACGCTTCATATTGTCCTGCAGTTACAAATACAACAGGCATAATTCAGTACAGCATAGAAAACCAAAAGGAGAGAATAACACCTTTTCACCTGTCAAAAGACAGATTTGTGAGGGAAGAGTTTTAAGTGGTTGTTCTTGTGTGATGATCAATTTATTCATAGCTGACCTTTACTATAAAATCATTCTACTGTTCTACCTCTTTAGAACATAAGAGGATGGAAAACTAGAAATAAATGATGAAATGGTGAAGTTAATTTTCAGAATATGAAATACATAATTGTTTTTTCATGTCCTGAAAAAAGCTCACTATTTTTTTCCCCTGTATTTTAACCTACATTACGATTTTAATTCTTTGGTCTCCTTTTCCAGTGGTCTCAATAAATGACTCAAAAAACCTCTTTCATGGACCAGGCAACACAAAATATCTGAAAGTAGTAAAAATTTGGATGACTCATCAATGAATTCCTTCTCCCCGTCTTGAGCAGCTGACCAGTAGGAATTAATGATTCTGTTTTCCACCACAGATGGAACAATTCTTTTCACAGATGTCTGCAAGTGTTGCACTGATAATCTAATTCTTTATCTGATTCTAGGAATGCAGACAGCATTTGGAAATAGCCCTCTATAAACTACAAATTGTTGCAGTTTTTTCTGTGCTGTTAATAATAACACCTCTGTCTTGAAGCTGGGGATGTGACTTGACTTAAACTAATTCATCCTGCACTCACATTAAGTTTATTACTTTGAAAGAAAATGACTAAACCCACAGAATTTTGTGGTAGAGATGCAGTGGTGTTGGATACCATTCAGTCCCATGTTACTGTCTAGTTCACATGGGTCATTTCTTTTCATCTTTAATTTTGGAAATAGTTCCCTGCCTTTACAAATAATTTCCAGTTACTGAAGCAACTGAAAGGAAAATATAAATATGGATTGGAAAATTAGAGTATTTTCATTGAAGTTGCCCTCAGGAAAAGGTAAAGTATTACAGCATCAAAATTATTACATATGACTGAAATACTGGATTGTCAAACATGGAATAGGAGAAGGAGGAAAAGGACCTGGGGACATTGGTTGATGAGAAGCTCAACATAAGCCAGCAGTGTGTGCTTGCAGCCCAGAAAGCCAACCGTGTCCTGGGCTGCGCCAAAAGGAGAGTGGCCAGCAAGCAGGGTGAGAGAGGTCCCCCTCTACTCTACTCTTGTGAGACACCCCCTGGAGTACTGTGGTCAGCTCTGGGGTCCCCAACAAAAGAAGTATGGTCCATTGGATGACCATGAGGATGATCAGAAAGCTGGAGCACCTCTCCAATGAAGACAGGCTGACGAAGTTGAGGTTGTTCAGTCTGGAGAAGAGAAGGCTCTGGGGAGATCTTACAGAGGCCTTCCAATGCCTAAAGGGGGCTACAAGAAAGATGGGGAGGGATTCTTGGTCATGGAGTGTAGGGATAGGACAAGGGATAATGGCATTAAACTAAAAGAGGGTATGTTTAGATGAAATATTTGGAAAGAAATCTGTATTCAGAGGATAGTGAGGCCCTGGCACAGGCTGCCTCAAGAAGCTGTGGATGCCCCCTCCCTGGAGGTGTTCCTGCCCATGGCAGAGGTTGGAACGAGACAGTATTTAAGGTCCCTTCAAGCCCAAATCATTCTATGATACTATGATTTTGGGAATTCTTCTTTGTAACTGTTGCAAAGTCTAGGAAATCATTGGGGTTGTTTGTGTGTACGAGGCAGTGATCAGGGAAGAGAAATTCAGTAGATTTCTAGCAGTTATTCTCAAGTTTTCAAGATCTGCTTAAATGAATGACAGGTGAAAGATACTGCATAAGACATCTGCTCATTCTATTTCTTTGGAACCCTTTTCATTGTCAAGCGCTACAGATGAAATTTGTTCTAAGACATCTCATCATCAAACAAGATAGAAGTTGAGTAATTTTTAGTAAAATAACTTAATAGAGAAGTTTTTTTTTTTTTTAAAAAAAAGTTTTCTTCAGGCATGAATCATGAAAAGTCATTAGATGGGATGGGCTACTCTTTAAAATTTTTAAATGAATTTTTATTTTACTTTGAATTAATTTTGTGTTTCTTTTGGCATAAGATTCCCATTTAGTTCAATTCATATAATTTTAGCCATGTGACTGCATGCACATTTTGCGCGTTGCAACTCTGCTGCATTGACATGCAGCTTTTCCTTTGGGGCAAGTTTTTCTCTTCTGTTTATTCCCCATGAGATGAAACAAAAAAATAACACAAAATACCTTGACAAAGAAGCTACCACCTTTAGACAGTCATTGTTCCCTGCATGTTTATTGCATGTGCCAGATTGTTATTGCTTCCTTATAGCATCTGTATGTAATCTAACCATAACAAAAATGGTCTGAAACTTTTGACATGTTTGGAGAAAATACAGCTGCAGGGAAGCTTTGGCTTGAAAAGCTGGTGCAGTACAAAATAAAAATAGCAGGCTTCAAAAAAGCAGACATCATAAATCAGGGGTTGTGTAGGTGAACTCTCTCCTGGAATAGTGTTTAAAAAGAAAAAAAAAAAAAAGAGAGAAAAAAGAAGCTGAAGAAATCTGGCAACTCCTTACTTAGAGATGAAGTATTTAGAATAAAAGTGTAAACTATGCTATTGTGGGGAGAAGAAAAGCAGAGTAATAAAAAATCAGCTAGGTTTAATCAGTATTTTTTGTTGCCCTCTAATACAAGAAGAGACTGCACTGGAAATGGAAATGAAATCAGATTGCAGAAGATACAAAGATATATATCAGGCATGAGGCCCAAAACTGGAATAAGGAAAGGAACTAAACGAGGTGCAACAGAGAAGGGATATTGATGGGAAAAAGAAATTGTTGGACAAACAACTGAAAAACAAAGGATAGGGTTGGGACTGTGCTTAGTGTTAAATGTATTGTGAAGGCTGTCTGGTATGTAATTGCTTTTAAAGTGCTTAATGCTCTTTTTCTGTTTTCACTCAGAATTTAAAGGTGATCAGGTGCTAAACATAAGAGAAAACAAAAATGGCAAAATCTCCAGTCAAGAAGGTAAATAACAGTTTGGAATATATATAAATAAGTCAGATATCTTCCTGCTGTCCTGGCCCAATAATCTTCACTTTAAAGTGCCTTGAACTTGGCAAAGTTAATTAGAGAGGTTAATGGTTATCTTTGCAGACAGGCTAGTCCATGAATACTTGACCTACTTTCCTGATCATTTATTAAAATTAAAATCTGTGGAAAAGGGAATTATAAACCAGGAAAATACGCTGAGAAAACACTAAAAAGCAATTAAAGATCTTTAGTGACTCATTCTCTGTTGTTTATCAAAATAGAGATCAAAAGGTAACTTGATTATGGTATATAAACACTTTCATGCAGCTACTTTTGCTGGGTACTAATGGACTGTTTAATGTAACAGAAAGACATAATATGAAGCAGCAGTGAAGAGCTGAGAGCCAGACAAGCACAACTTGGAAATAATGTTTGGCTTTTTAATAATGAGAATAATTAATCATGGGGATAAATTACCACAGGAAGCACTATATACGCTATGCTTTAGTCAATACACTTAAAATTTGGGCTCAAATGGGGCGAAATTCTTGTAGGATTTTACACTATTCCTTCTTCCCTCTAGTTGTTGACTATGAAATAACCAGAAAATGGATGAAATTCTATGAAATTCTTCACATTTATCCACAAGATTAACAATGTTATTAGAACAGTTCTCTTTTGGGACCATGTTTTTATGGTATGATGAATGAACCCTAGATTACATCTCAGACTAGAGAATACACAATTATTACTTATTAGCCAATTAGTTTGACTATTTTCCAGACAAGAGATGGCAATTTTATTTGGATTATAACAGGTTTATAAAATTCTGAAATGTCATTTAACATTCGTCAAGCATGTTACATAGTTTGCTATATAGTTGTATATATTCTATAATGCAGTATCACATTCATCCACAGATACTGCCAATGAGAATTTGGAAAACCTCTCTTCCTTTATTTCAAAGAATGAAAATACAATGATCCTTCTTCAAAGAATACGGTATTTTTTAACATGAAAAGTCCTTTCCAGCAAAGGTACAACCCAGTATGTGAAACACATGAAACTGAAAGTTTCATAGTGTAACGAGTGAAAATTTAGTACAGTCCGCATAACAGCTTAGTGGATATTGTTACTCAATAGTTCAAAAGAGATGTCAATTAAAAGTGTGAAGAAGAGATGGAAAAAGATGGGGGCATTTTCAGGTGTGAATGTGTAATTTATTTGGAGCCAGCAGGCAAAGCTGATGTAAAAATAGAACAAATGACACAAGTCAGTACTGCTACTGGAAGTTTGCAGAACTTACTATGGTGAGAGCTCTGACAATCCCTCTTAACCACTGAAGTAACAGTACTCTTGTACCTAAAGACCTAAGCAAAAAGGTTGTGATATGACACTACGATGAAGGGATTATACAATAGAGTACTCGCAAAGTCAGAGCTCATGACTTCAAGGAAGTGGTTCCTTTCCTTGGAAACAGTCACCAGACCTTTTTTGTTTTTTTTTTTCTTTTCCAGTAAAACTCCTAAGTATTGCAACTTTTCCAAAGATGAATTAGTGGCAATGTTCAGACTAGTTTTCTGTTTCCTCTACTGAAGAGGTTCTTGAGAATGACACTGAGGAAGTCCAAGCAATCAAATGGTACTTAGTTCAGTGGTTTCATGGTTGTTGTTGTTTTTTTTTTTTTTTTTTTTTCTCCCCACTTTGGCAGGTGCTATTTGCAGTATACTTAGTTGCTTATTAAGTTGGCAAGGCAATCTACTTGAACACTGCACTAATAATAGCAACAGGTTTAAAAAACTTTTATACAGATAGAGGAACTATTTCATTTACCTACAGTGCTGCACATAACCTTTTATAAATGCTTAATGAGTATAAGGGATATTGCAGATTCCTATTCCCTCAATCTCTTGGTGCACTACTGTTAAGTCTGTTCAAAATCATTGGAGCTTCCTGGGAACACAGATAGATCAAGCACTTTATAAAGAAGAAACAAGTAATGCATTTTTTTTTTTTTGTCACATTATCTTTTTTTAGGTTCCAATTTGTTTATAGAGAAAAAAGGAGAAAGTTTCAGAATTTATAAATGCACTTTTTGTACATCCGTATATTGGGAAATGGAAAAGTTGAATTCTGTGTTAGTAGTAACCTCCCTTTCCATTTACTTGAAAGGAAGCAGAAATCTACTACTTTGTCAAAACATTGTATTAAACTAATAAGCACTTCCAAACAGTCAATGCAAGCCAATTAAATGTGATTCCATGTTTCTAGACTAACAAGCAGAGAGTTACATTTAAATTGTGATTTTATTCTGTAAAGACATAAGCCCCTCTTCAATGTGGTCTATAAATTAACCAGGTACAATATGTCCCATAGAGATTAGCAGTTCCCTCTCTGTAGGAGCATAGATAATACACTCAATAGGCACTTTAAAACTCTGAGGAATATTAGTACAATGTGTTTCACCATATTTCAAAATCAACAAAATGACTTGTGACATAGTAGCTGATCATTCAAAATCTCCCTGTGTGGCATGGACAGCTGCATCTCTTGTTTCCTTTGCCACTCTGAGACATTAAGCCTGTGTTATTATATTGGATGCCGGTTTCCCAGGATCCCTTACTATGAGAACACAGACACTGAAAGATGCAGCATGCCAAAGTCATACAGAAGACATTTGCCATATGGTCTGAGTGTTGTCCAAACGTTTTTTGAACTCTGTCAGGCACAGTGCCATGACTGCTTCCCTGGGGAGGCTGTTCCACTGCCCAACTACCCTTTCGGTGAAGAACCTTTTCATAGTATCCAGCCTGAACCTCCCCTGATGAAGCTTCATGTTATTCCCTGAGGTCTTATCACCTCCTAACATCCCTATATGCAAGTAAACTAACAATGAGAAGACTGTTTCTTTGTGTGGACATCTCAACAGCTGCTTTCAAAAAATAATGCAAATTAGTGAAATCAAGAAAGGCAATTCACATATTCCAGCTTTAGGGACCTAATGTTTATAATAGGGATCTCATGTCCCTGTGTATCCAATGGTATTTACAAAGATTATTCAAAATTTCTTGCACTCCTCAACTGCCCTTATGGAGCTGTAAGGGGTTACTTAGTTAGCTTCTGTATATGTATTCCCAGAACTACTAAACAGCCATTATAAAGTGCCAGAGACTGCTGAAGGGTAAAGTAAAATTGAACTGTGTTTACATTTCTACTCATACTCACAAAAACACTGTTGCTAACATCTTGCATTGAGTCTGCCAGACTGCTGCAATGTGGCTTGATCAAAACAACCACCTTGGCATTCCTATGACAATGTTTCTTCCTTTTTGCTTCTCTCCACCTATGGTCTCCTTTCTCACACATCAGCTGTATGTTCCTGTACAAAGAATTCCTGCTAGCAACTATGGTACACTACAGTCTCCTTGTGTTGGAAATGATACAAGCTCTTGTTCACAACTACTTTTAAATCAAGTATATTGCTTGAAAAAAAATCAACCAAGTTATCTTTAAAGTTCTTTTCTAAATATACATACAGGAGTATAACATTCAAATTTGACTGAGTATTTAGATGGGCACAGTTATTTTAACAGCAAGTAGTAAAAGAACGTAAGAATAACAATGCTTTCCTTTATATTTTCTGGTTAAGAATAATTCGATGCAGGGGGCGTATAACTTATCTGCTTCCAATTGAATCTTTTTCTAATTGTATCTGTGCACTTTCATCCCCTCGATGAGAAAGCCTGCAGTCAGTATATTAAAAAAAAAACATAATAAATAATATTTTGAGTTTATATAGTTCAATTAAGTCTCCAAACTTTGATAAAAGAAGCATGTGATTTTTATTTAATGTTGTTCCCCGGATTGTTTGTATTTCAAATATTACTTTGATTTTTAGACTCAGAAAGAAAGTGGCAGTAAAAATTAAGTGAAACACATGCTTGGTTACCCTGACATCTGCAGCTTTAGATGGTATATGGGATTGTAGGCACAAATATTTTCATGTTTTGTAGGCACTTTTCATATTTTTTGTAGCTGTCACTCACAGTAGCTACATTACAAGTCAAAAATGATGGTTAAACTAACAGATGTATGTCATATAACTCACAGAGGAAAAATGCTGCCCTCAGAGTACACCTGAATATAAAAATTTAGTTCAACATCAAGCTATCACTTGCCAGTGGAAAGTATTTTCATGTAGTTTTACTGAATAGCCCTAGGGGATGTCAAGATAGATTTTTAGAGAGTGATTGCATTGTGTTCTAATTTATTTCTTAGACAGACTTATGTACACAAATGTTTACTGGAAGGATTCATAGCTGATTATACACATACATTTAATGGTGATTTTTTTTTTCTTCTTAAACAACCATCCAAACACAAAGGAAAAAGGAAAACTCTCCCCAGTGGCTACTTGGGAAGAGAAGCAGCAGAGACTCCTGAACAGAAGTCCCTCTGTGGGTGTCCCTCTGCAGTGCAACACATGTGCCCCCTGCATGACACTTTTCATGGTCTCTACCATCACCTTTTCAAATGCCACTTTGATCAGGTGCAGTTGTTTTATTCTCTGTTCAACTCTTTGTTGTATCCCTCAGCATACACTAGGAGTTAGAAAGGGCAGGGGGAAGGGAGGATTGACTCTCACACCAGTCACTATCACTTCCCATGAGAACATGCCATGGCAACAGTATTAGGTTCTACTTAAGACAATATTGGGGTGTACAGGTGAAAAAGGCTACAAGCCACTGTGACTTACCCAAGGAAATTTTTAGCCTCAGGAGCTGCAGTGAATTCTATGGAGATTCTGGAGATTTTAAGTACAAAGGATGGTAGGATAAAAATTACAGCTTGTGCAGTGCTTTTCCTGTGAAGAAAGTTAAACAATTATGACTTTGATCCTGCAATCAGATTTGGCAGCATGAAATTCTAGCTAGCACATAGATGGGCAATACTACAAAACTGCAGAACTGGAAAATAGATTTGTTTTGAACTCTTTAAAAAGACCAGAACTCTCCTGGGCAGACATTTTTCTCAGTCAATTGATTCTAAAATTGAAGAAAAGCTATCAAGAAAAATCACTACGTTGTCTCTCTTTAGGTATGCTGCCCAGTCAGCACTGACAGAGACGAGCAATCAGTATTTATTGATTCATCCATCACTTTTCCAGACTTGATAGACTAAGGCTTTAATAGCTAAATATACTCTGGTTCTGGCAGAGATTTGAAATAAGACAAAACAAAATCAAGGCTTTCTAGAATTGTAACCTTACAATATTATAAGGGGTTAAGGCAATTTCTGTTCAGTTTAACTTTCAGATTTCATAAAAAATCGTTATCTTAAGGAACTTTGGAGATCAGTTTTTTGAACTCAGGAAACAACATTTTTATTGTATTAATGTAGCACATGGATAGCAAGTATATTGTGATGTGCAACAATATTTGTAAATAGTTCCTCACGTTCCTTATTCTTAGATCATTTCTATAATGCTATTACTGTCTAAAGAAATAGACATTGCTGGTATTTCTTTTTTTCTTTTACTGTTACTTACATCTTTGTTTTCTACAGAATCTTCTTAATTAATATGCTCTTTTCTTGCCTCCATGTGTACTGTAGATGTTCTTTCTGATCAAAAATCAACTCGCCGTGATTTTGTCTTGAGGGCTGTGATTCAAGTCCTTGTGTGTTAACCAGCTGGAGAGTAGAGTGGTAGTAGCTTCAACTGGACTACATTCACCCTGAAGACACGTTCACCCTGAAGAAAGTGAGTTAAAAAAAAAAGACATTTTAAGACTGTTTCAGAATTTTAGCATTTGACTGCTTTTAAATTTTTTTTCCATGCATTTGTGCTATATATTTAATAGAGAATGACAAAATATTTAGTTGACTCATAAATACAGAATACCACATGTCTGAGCATGTCATTGCAACAAAAACACCGGAAATGTTCATGAAAAATTGCACTCAAATAAAATATTATCTGGTAAGTGTAAAAAATTCAGCATCTAATGCTAGCTACCAATCACTTTTAAAATGTTAGCAAATTAATCTTAATGTGAAAGCTGATGTAAGTATCTATCTCATACTGATTACAAATATTCAGAAGAATTTAGTTTATGAAATTAGAGTAAAAATTTCCTTAAAAAAATAAAAATAAAAAATTACATGAATTTCACAGATAATCCTATGATTTTTCCATTTTTAAATTGTTTAAATAGTTGGGTTAAGTCAAATTAAAGCTTCTGTTCTTTTTATTATAGTTTTGGGTAACAGTCTGTCATTAAGCTAACAGCTTTTCTTTAGTCTGGACTGTGAGGTCCGTGTCTAGAAAGAGGCACCTACACTGAGAGATATTTACATATTTTTAGTATTACAGAGATCTAAAATAAATAAAACATTCTTGTGCTTAGTTAAAAGTGTATGTTAAATAATAGCAAGATATGCTCGATATGTAAGTAATGAAGTTATCTCAGACCACAGGGATAGCATGAAACAGAGGATGTTAAATACTAAACATGTTTAAGATTTGAATGCAAAATTACAGCATTAAAATGCAAGTCCTTTTTAAACCAAGGTGCTTTTCCATTGACATGTAAGCAAAGACACTTGGGAAGAATAATTACTTTGGGAATTCTTAGACAGGAAAAAGACTGAAGGAAACTTTCCTGATGAGTATTTCCTTATGTATGGCTCCATCATTCCCTGCAATACAGTTTATTTGAGTATCTCCTGTTGTATTGTTTGGACAATTGCTGCTTTAAATCACTGACAATGTTCATATATTTGATTTAGCGACTGTCTTCCACTTTTAGATCTCTAACAGTCATCTCATGCACAGTGCCTGATATCAGAATTTACTTTAAACAGAATAACCTCTGGTAGTAGAGGTGAATTAAAATGAAAGATTTGGATCCAGGAATGCTGAGCATCTGCTAACTGCACATTTTTATTTTTATTTTTCATCTTAGAATAGTTAAATCCAAAATTATTACATCGATTTTGATGACCATTGCTAAATTTTCTTTAACTGCTGTCTTAAGGAAGGTTGTTGCTTTGAAAAGTGATTGATTTTGCCTGTGGTAGGTAGCTACTGGTGTCTCCTAATGTTTTAGGTAGTAATCTAAGTGCTTTCTCAAGCAGTCCTTGTTCCTGTAACATTACGCAGCTACAGAGTCTGAATGGGGAGTATGGATGTGGGTCCTTAACAAAATTGTGGTTGTTGCTATCAGTACTGCAGGTAGCTCATTCACAGGGTATTAAGGGAAACTCTCACTCCTTGAGGTTGAGCAGGAGAAAAATGCATTTTGCACAACAGCTACTGGGATCAAAGAGCAAAAATAAGAACCCTAAAACCTTGTGCATATGGTTGATGGCCCCACCAGCTCTCTTTCTACCATCTGCTTAGGGAAACAGCAGTTGAGACTGTTTCAGAATCCTGAAACAAGAAGTGATGTCATTTAAAGATACTTAAAAATTTACATTTTGCTAGACCAACATAGTATAGAAGATAAACATTCTGGTATATAGAAAGAAACCCAATAATGCAGGATAGTTGCTTTGTGATTAAAATAAAAGTAGCATACTTCTGAAAGAATATTTCTTCACACACACCTACACAATGGCACAGATGTTTGTGATGGGTGCAGTTGTAGCTATCAAAACTACATTTAAGTTATTTTATTTAGCTGAGGTGCTGTTGTTTTTCCCCGCAGTTCACAGGAGAGTAGCAATGATGACTACTTTATCCAGAATGTATCATCTTGAACCATTGAAGACATGGCCACAGTTATTCCAAGTTAGCTATCTGTACAGCAATAAGATGTATGTTCTTACTAGACAGTTCAATTAATTTTATTTGCAGCTGACACAGCTTAGTAGCGTAGGAAAAACTGGTAATGAGAAAGGGCAAGTAAGCCAGTGCCTAAACATGGATGCATAAGGAAAGATTGATTTTCTAGTTCTTTACTGAAGCATGAGCCAGGTTGCATGCAGACACCAAACTATCAAAGTTTGTTATAACAGATGAATAGGAGGAATTCTGGTTTGAACTTTGAACTACTTTTCTACAAGTTAGCCCTATCCTTGGTTTTGCCAGATTTCAAAGTATATTCTATATATTTGATAATTTAACTTATATAAAAAAAAAGGAGGTGAAGGTCATTGATTTACACAGTAATTTTCATTTCAGATATTCCCATAAATCATTTCTCCGGAGTAGCATATGAAAATTATACAGATCCCACAGCACTATAAAGTTTTAATATATCATTAAAAGCAAAGAGAACAAAAGTAAATAGTTCAATGATTTGAGCAGTCAGGCTTGCAAAACTCTTCTTGAATGGGTGTTATTTTTCTTTCCATCATAACCTTTTCTCTAAACCATTCATGGATTTTCAGTCCCCAAAGTTTTTCTTATAATTAACATGAAGTTTGGCCAGGAACAGTAAAGCTCCTTCCACTTGCTCTTCCAAGAAATTCTGTTTAATGTCTCTGAGCTCTTTCTGACTAAGTTAAGGTACTGAAACCAGACAAGATAAAAAACGTGTCCTTTCCATTTCTTTCTGAATTTCTAGCCACCTGTTAGAAGTTTCTGGCAGTCATGAGTCTCCTTTCATTTTGGCAATAAGTCTTGTCTTCTCTCATTTCTGGGGACACAGCAGCATTTTCAATGCGTATTAACATCTGCAGTTAGTGCACATTTCCCTTAAAACAACAAAATCCCTTTCTCAATTACTAACAGCCTACTTGGTAGCATTAACCTGAACTCATCACTTTTCTTATTTTTGCACCTTGTTCCATCTTTATCTCTCCATAGTATTTCCTCTGTTGTTAATGGATTTGTTTTCTGTTTTCTTTGTCACCTACACAAAGCCACTAGCATCTTGCCAGCTGTTAGCTGAATAGGATTTATCTTTGTTTTCACTGATGTCTCTCTACCTCACCAGTCATATAAACGTGTCTTTCAGACATGGAGCTTTCTCTGTCCACGCTAAGCCTTAAAAATGTTTACAGTTTTAAACCTTACTTCCCCTTCTTGTTTGTACATCCAGAAAAAAAAAAAAAAAAAAAAGATTATTATTTTTTTTGTGTGTCAATTTCAGGTATATCACACAAGCATCTGAACCTTTTAACCAACAAAGGATTTACCTGTGCACTAACATGACAAAGAACCTTTGTTAGGGAGTTGATTATAATGATGGTCAGCTGTCTATGCAAGTCTGTGGTGTGAACCAAGAAATCCTGGTGTGAGCTTCACGCTACTGTCACTGTCAGGTGTGCTGATAATAATTAGAATGTCCTTTGGCACTTTCATCTGTTTCATTATTATTATTATTATTAACTAGAACAGAGATGGGGGCTGTAGGTGATGAAGACTTCTGATTAATGCAGGTAGTTATGATTTATGCTACTTTGGTGCAACAGCGAACAGAATACCAAGAACCTCAGCCAAAAATGTTCGTGCATGTTAAAGGTATCCGTGGAATGAAAGACTCATCTGAATGAACTTAACTGACTCCAGATAAATGGTATAATCATTTTTTAAACAGTTATAATACTACCTCACTGATTGCTGTATTATGGGTGGGACAGACATAAAAGACATAACATTTCTCTCTCTCAGCATTCACTTTATTCAGGCTTTGAATCCAGCCTGCCTGCACTTCATAGCATGTCTCTGCTAACAAAGATGGAGAGTTGCAACAAATGCTGATCTGCATAATGCATATTCTAATATGCATTTGGTTTCTTGTGTCTTGAATTTTTCAAATATTATAGAACTATTTGCATGATTATAGTTTGGCATATACTCAAGCACTTTTTTTCATCCGGGGTGTTCACAATGGATTCTGTGATTTCAGGTCATAAAATAATGCTGTGAGTATACATATCTTATGCCATTTGTCTACATACCAAATGCTAGTATTATATTTATTTGCATATACTTTTTTATATATATTTTTTATTTTACATTTAAGAAATAGATACTAAGCAATTGATGTTATTTTTATTCAGCAACTCCCCCAAGGTAGGTTTCAGGTCAAATATTGGCTCAGTGCAAGGTGTGCTTTGAAGATAACTATTTAATTTTCTCTTCCTTTTCTTTTGACCCCATTGAAAAGATGGAGAAGCTTAGCACAAAAAAAACAAACTGTACCACAGCAGCTGCATTTTGGCACAACAATTTGAAGTATGGGGTAATGGCAATACAATACAAACACAAGTATTTAAAATCTATACTTTTTGTTCCTCCCAAATGCTGAGTTTGAAAAGTTGGAATTACACTTCCAAAACCAATATTCACTCCAAAATTCACTCTAGCTCTCAAGGTAAAATATTTATCAGTTCGTAAGAAACTCTCTTGCTGTTTGTTAGATGCTTACAGGTACAGAACAATTAGCAGCGGGACCTAATAGCATTTAACGATTCTCTTAAGGTACTGACCTTCTGCAGCACTCACTGAACCTTCTCAGAAGGAATGGGAACTAATGAGGTAGTATAAAAGTGTGGCCTCAGTAATCAAATCTTTCTGCTGCATCTATTTGCTGTGTGATTGCTAATGTTAAGAGGATGGGGAGAACGGAGGGGAAAAGCAAAAAGATAAGGCATAGCTGCCATTTGGCCAGCCTGCAATTTATGTCAGCAACTAGCTTTAAACAGAACATTGGCACTGAGCACAGCAGATAAGTCTTGTCTCCTCTTCCCTTTTAATATTACCTCTCAGTATCTAACAGAGTCACAAGCTAACAATTG